CTTTTTTCCTAGACACGAGTTACCTAACGCTTTAATATTATCCCTGATCTCTATCCATAACTTATCAATATCCTCGTGGTCCTCGTCAGTAAGCTCTAAAGCTTCAAACCTATTCTTAACATATAGCTCTAATTTGGTTCTAATTGATGGATTTTTTAATTTTTCCCAATTAAAATTCTCTAAATCGAAACGGTTTTCTTTTCTCTTTTTTATATTAAGTTTTTGTCGAAGTTTCGCGATTACTAATTCATGATCCGACCCACATTCTGCTCCGCGATAAGACCGTACATTAATTATACTGCTTTGCCAGCTATGTTGTATCAAGACATGATCGATTTGATTTCGTGTTTGCGTATCCGGTGATGTCCAAGTATATTTATGAATATCCTTATGTTTGAACGTCGTACTTTTAATTATCAGGTTTTTCGAGATGGCAAAGTTTATCCAGACGGATCCCATTATCATTACTAAATTCGTGCAAGCTTTCTTTACCAATCGTCGGAATGTAAACTTCTTCCCTTCCTACCTTTGCGTTCGCGTCAATATTTTCATGTAGTTTCGCGGTAGTTTATCATAAACCCATTCGAGTTTATCGTAAAATTCACTTTTGACTTCATCGTCACTGTCTTCGGTCGGACAATCTATGTTTATTAATGCAATTTAAACCAACGTCCCTGAAATATAGCTACCGAAATTCTAGATAAAGAATTGTACGTCCCTCAAAGCGAATAGTAATCTACTCCTAATTAGAAACCCGGTACCTAAACAATGATTCCCGCTTCCTCCGTACCAAATAGTGTACTTACATTCCCTCATCGAGCCCTCCCCTGGCCAGCGAACCTCTTGCAGAGCCACGACATCCAAGTTGTACCCATTTACCTCATTCGCGACCGATTTTAGCCCCCCTGCTGTGTTTAAACTCCTAACGTTCCACGTACCAATATTTAAATCCCTATATTTCAACTTGCGCCATGAATCCCCTAAAGCAGTCCCCACCCGAAGACCCGAACGGGGGACTAGTTTATTTCCGGATAATGAGCGTTTTACCTTAGGGAGATCCATGACTATTTGTGGTGTTTGGTGAACTAAAGATATGTGAGTAGGGCGTTCAATCCTACGTCACACCCTCCAGCAAGTCTGGTGGGCCTCTACCTCCAGCAAGTCCGGAGGTCCCCTCCCTCCGGGGGACGCTCCCCATACGCGGTAATGAGCCCGCGCGAGGTTTTATAAATATATATATATATATATATATATGTTGATAAAAAGCACAGACGTATCTGCGGAGGGGGAGGGAGGGGAGGAGGCTTTCGGGCTGAAGCCCCCTCTCCCATCCAAAATGGTAAAATATAACCATGTTTTATGAAAAAAAATTATCTCTAAAAGTAGTATTGTTCGTCTGATTACATTTAAAAGGACTTAAAGAATCACTTTAAAATCATTTCATATAGATACTTAGTTTCTTTATTTCTTTCGAAGTAATTATCGTAATATATACATACAAAAAAAGAATCTTTCGGGCTGAAGCTCCCCAAAATTAAGTCCTGGATCCGTTAGTGATAACAAGGGAACGTGAACGAATTTTATACATTCTTATAGTTTATAAAAGAAAAGTTGATTAAGAAGAACGAAACCCATTGGCTTCTTTTTGCATGATAGACGTAGTTAAACCAGTTATATTAATTTTATCATTAGTCTCATTTTTTTAAATTATTATTGATGTATCCTTTTTACTTGTATCCTCTCTAACCTGACACACCGGGGCACCAATGTGGTCCTACAGCGGATCCCCAGCCATTGTGGGATTCCGGGTAACGTTGAGGCTGATATTCTTGCCAAGCGAGGAACAGATTTGCCTCAGCCGATACATCCAAAACCTTACGACTCAATACGGTGAATGGTGAAGGTGGTAGTGAAGGAGGAAATAAGAAAGTACATTTCGGCAAAGTGAAAGGGAAGCGTTACGAGTGGTTGAAGGATAATCCGATTCCAGCTGAGCTGAAGAGAAGAGATGTAGTTGCCTGCTTCCGCCTGGCCACTGGTCACGACTATCTGCAGAGTCATCTCCACAAGATAGGCTTCGCTGAGGATCCTAGTTGTAAATTGTGTCATCTAGGAACAATGGATGCAGACCATCTAGACGCATGTCCTGCCTTGAGGGACATAAGAGACAAAATATTTTCAAATATACATATCAGAAAATCTAAATTATACTGGGCAGCAAGATGTCGGATGGCCAAATGACCAACGAATGGCATAAGAAAAAAAAAAATCCTTTTTACTTGCATAATGACCAAATGAGGAGGAAATCATTCGCTGTGGAAGTGAACATACTACTTCATGAGCTTTTGTACACCTATTTAGTCAACAAAGCATCCCCGAAATGCACAAATAGAAAAATAAAGTGTTTATTTATTTATTGTAACATGACCTGTAGTCAAGGTTGAGGATGAAGAATAAAAAAAAATAATAATTATAATTAAAACACACATCAGATGATAAATAAACTAGATAGTAATAACCACACAGCTGATAAGTAATCGATGTTTTGATTACCTAACCCATAACAAAAAAATACACACAGCACATTTCTGCTCCAAGACGCTTGGTAATCGATAGTAAGTTACGATAATTAGGCGTCAATAATACGAAGTAATCAATGTGATAGTTCTAAAGATTAAAATTTTTCAAGAGAAATGGATCCCAACTTTATGAAAAAAAGAAAATAATAATAATGAAAAAAAAAATTATTGATGTAATATGTGTCTGTAAATAACATCTAAAATATAAAGTTTGCTTAATCAATATACTTAAGATACAAAAAAATATATTATTACTGTAAGGCTCGAAATCGGTTTTGTACCAAATATAAGCTCCTGTCATGCTCAAATATCATGAATGGGGTACCGTTGGATTCAGAATTTCATGGGGGGTTAGCGAATCGTATTCTCCGCTTTTGTTTTTCTTTTTAAAATAAATAAAGTCGATACAAACATTTTGCTAGGCTTCAATACTGGAACGGTGGTAGGTCTGTAGATCGATGTGGGACAAATTGGACCTTGAAGATTTTGATGCGTACAGCAAGATCCTGATAGTATCGGATCCTGCGTTTTTAAGCCCAAAAACGTACTATTTTGGAGATAACGCACGGCATGGGGTTCGCATCCACACAACCTGACGTTAATTGTAATACTGGCATTGGATATATGTCTCATTTCGTCGACTTGAGGTCTCTATGATCGAGACAGGAGGAATTTATATTATTTATCGATGGTGTTTTTGATCGGCAAGCCATATCATCGTTAATTCTTCACCAAATCTCAAGATTGAGCCACCAATTTCGGAGGCTTCCTTCTCCTTCAGGCAGGCAAAGTAGTCCAATCATCTCGAAAATTCAGGCAAACAAGTATTGAAAGAAAAGAAACTTTATTTGCGAATAACTAAAAAATTTCCCTAGGTTATTCCCATGGTTATATAAAACATTACTAAATTGTCTATAAAAGGAAAAAAAATCATCGAAATCGGTCAACTTTTCGCAAAGATACAGCTTATTGAAATTTGTAAATATGTTGGTTCCAAACAAAAATGAAGATTTAAATTAATTTAGTTTCCTTTGTCGATTATATTTCTCGATAAAGTAACAATTGATTAATTTTTCTTTTGATACGTTGCATTATTTTATTTTCTTATTAATTTGGCATTTTATAACAATGTGCTGTGCAAATTTTTCGCACGGGCCTACTAGTTAACTATAAAACATATAATTAAATTAGTATAATATTAGCCAACATTACTTCCAATCGTTGTTATATTTTTTTAACGTTTCTGATTTCAATTCCATTCTAAGCACTATAAATTAAAATTTACTGGGTAATTAATTTTTGTTGTAAATATCAGAGTTTGTGTTATATCGGTTTCACCGCAATACTGATTATGTCAATATAGTATATTATTAATATTGTGCATGATGAGGGATACGATAAAGGAAAAAGAATATGTATTTATATGTGTATAAATATATATATATATATATATATATATATATATATATATATATATATATATATATATATATATACATATACATATGTATGTGGGCGGGGTGGCCGAATGGGCTAACGCGTGTGTACTGCACCAAAAAAAAAAAAATATATGTATATGTAATTCAAGTATAATTAAGTGCTATGTGCAAAAAGGATTGATAAGTATGCTATGGATCAAGGAACCCTACATAGGGCAACTGCTTTAAATAAAGTATTTTTTCTCTCCTAACAAACAAACAAAGACAGTATAAACAAGCTCTTTCCGATCTAATGTTCGATAATCTTGTTACAAGAACGTAATAATTTACAGTTTTTATTTTTATATTTTCGTTTCTCTTGTTGTTATATTTAAGATTATTAGCCTGAAGTTAACAACGGGGTGCCCAGAACAGGGTTGTATGCCGGAAGATTTCTTTCTTGAGAGGGGAAAATAAGTACTCCTGGTTCACAGAATACACATAAATAAACTAGCAAAAATAAAAATAAAAACGCGATTTATGCTTACTCGAATGAAATCTATTGTTTATGAAAATCTGGATTCATATGTTAAAAACCATATTTGCATTAACATACCAAATTATCATTAACATATGTTGTTAATGATAATAATTCATTAACAACATACGCAGAGATCTATATTGCTAACGAATTAATTTAAAAAATTAGAAAAATCTATGAAATAAATATTATTATTTTCATTCCTGACCAACTCATAGAAAACACAAAACAAAACTATAGCACTATAAAAATAAATAAATTATATATTATAAAAAAAATCCGAAAATATAATATAAATGTGAAAACAATTTTAAAGACATGCTTGTGTTACGGAAGAATAATTTATGGAGGATATTTTTCAAACATGAAAACAAATTACCTATTACTTTTTTCGTTCAAAACAGTTTTTAACAAATTACAAGTTCTCGAAAATATATTCTAGGAATGAAAACGGTTACTTACATCGTAAACGTGGCCATAAGGAACCAAATCCATGTTTGCTAAAAGTCCTGCGAAGTCCTTGTCATCGTAAGTAGGAACCAGTTGATTTAAAATAAACCGTTCTGAATAAGGGCACAGTGATTCATAATAAAGTGTAAAAGGAACCTGAAACATAATGTTGTTAATAATATAGTATTAATAATTTGTTTATCTTACTGTAAAGTTTTTAGTTGCATTTGATTGGAGGTGTATTTTAAATATTTACAAATAAATATATGCATATATAAATTTATAAATTGCTACGTTTTTGGCTGTCCGCATTTTCTAAGACGAATGTGGATTGTTTAGGAAACACATCAAACTTCATATTTAAATTAAATCAAGTAAACACACCACAGCTGTAATCTCGAGCATACTGCATATATACCTCATGTATGCCTGCATAAGTCAGATGTTATTGTGACGCCGCCATTACTGAAGCGTAGACGCTCACGTAGCGTGAGTGATTCACTAGACTGGCCAGTTTGAAAATTCGTAATTCCACTGCTTTGATGAATATGGAGTAAAAAACAACATCGGCCGGCAAGGGACCAAGAAAGGAAGAGAGAGAAGATGAACAAGAAGACTGGCAAATAGAAGAAAAGATAAAATGCAAGTATCCCAACCCATTTATAAAACTTATAACCCACCTATCCCAACCTCTGTATAAAATTAAATGTAATGAAATAAAGCAACCAATTTTACATATTCACTTTTTTAGTCTATTAACTTCTCTAATTTTACAGTCCACAGCAATAAATTATCACCAGCTCCTAAAGCAGAATTATTATGACAACTGACAGCCTTGGAAGGGATTGGCATAGTAAATTAAACATTTGGTTTTTCGGGCTCCGATATCATTAAAATCTTTCATGATTAAATCATACTATAGTTTGCATCATAAAGTAAATCAAAATTTTTATATTTTTTTCACCAGAACCTTGTTTAATAATAAACTAAACATTTAGTGCTCCGTTCTTGATATCATTGAATCTGTAATGAACGAATTAAACGCTCCTTGTTATTATAACCTTCAGAAATAATAATATTTTTTCATATATATATATATATACAGTTTTCATATATTTCATATATATATATACAGTTTTAAAATACAACTGATTGTTATATCTAACCAAATTAACCTAAAAGAATTTTAGTATAAATTATATTTAATGTCATTAAAGGCTCATTTACACGGTGCCAGTCGCGTTGCAGTTGACTGGCGCATAAAGTTTACACATTCCCGTTAATGTAGAACGATTCGAGTGTTATTCGGTTCTTTAAAATACGTATTTATTTATTTAGTTTCTACAAATGGCCGAAAAACAGTACAAATTCGCAATTCAGAAACCTGTTCAGCAAAATTTTTCAAACATTATCATGAATTGATAGGTGGCAAAAAAAAAATACAATTCTTTCCGACATATTTTTTTATTTGAACTCCCAATTATAAATTCAACACAAATCTTATCAATATTTTAAAAATAGTTTGCATAACAACAAAAACATACTTTTTTATAACAAATTAAAGTATAAAATAAGAATTAATGTAGTATTGAAAAATTCATACGATTAGTATTGAAGTTATTAATATGCGTTTAAATTTAAAAAAATCTATATAAAGGAAAGAATACTTATTACTGATTTTTATATCTCGTATCATCCCGTGTATGAAAATGTTTTCTAATCACTGTATATGAAGAGCATTTAGAAGTAAGTGACCAGGAGCTTCAGAGCAGATGAAAAAACGAAAATCATTGTTTAGATCTTAGATCAATAATAAGCATTTAGGAGTAGCTGAGACAGTTTGCATTACAGCTGACTGGCATATAACAGTTTACATATTGTCAGTTAGTATTGAACTATCGAATTATAAGGAAATTTAAAATACGTTTTTATTCGTTTAAATTGAAATAAGTGCAAAACTTTTTATATTTCTCAAGAACAGGGCTCTCGGTCATATGGCATGTACCGGGCCTCCTAATATTGAACACTTTTAGTGAATTTTATATATTTATCGCATGCGTGTACATAGGTTTGATCATTTATATATTTATTAATGTATATATTATTTTTTATCTTGTAAATTTGGATGCTGGAGGCAATTTCGCGCTCTAGTTTACCGCCTCTCCCCACTTCGTTCTTGAATTTTCTTTTATCTTTGCTTATTATTGTTAAATCTGGCTGAGCCAAATTTAGGTATGTTGGATTTACATCCAAAATTTTATTGTTTTATTTTGTTGTTATTTGACCTGTGTGAATAACATGGGGGGCCCTGTCTCATCCTGCACTACCACTAGCATCTCCTGTCTCATCCTGCACACTAGAAAATTGGATGTACCGCTGGTATAGGGTTGCCCTAAGGTACAGCGGAGGAAAAGAAGGAAAAAAAAAAAAAAAAAAGAGAGAGAGAGATTTTATTATTGGATATAAGAGTTTACTAACCTATAACCATAATATATTTTACTTTACTAACATATATTTTTTTATTTTTTTTTTTATTGAATAATAATACAATCAGCCACTGTTAAAGGGCTATAAGTATTAAGGCTAAAAGTTCTCATTCATACAGTATATACAAGTAATATAGAAGTAACTATAAATATAAAAAGTAAATAAATAATACTTATAAAAAAATGTAAATCAGCTCCGCAGCCTCCAGTTATGTGTTGAATGGATTCATATGTGCTTGCACAGAGCCTACATTTGTCCGATACATTCTGTTGCTTCAAGACGTGTCGCCAGTAGGATCTGGTAGCTATAACCTGGTCCTGGATTGCAGTTAAAAAACCTTCAGTCTCGGGGAACAGACTTCCTCCTACCAGCCAGCTAACAGACAAAGATTTATCTATTTCAGTCTGCTGAAGCTGGTGAAAAAACCTTCCATGTAATGCTTTTGACTTCCATTCTTCCAGGCGGTCTTTGTCGGTAAAAAAGATTGGCGCAGTTTCATGAGAGGCTAATTGTAGAGCAGTGTGCCCGCGATCGAGATTGCAGATTATCTTATGGCACGGACTGCGCTTTGTTTAAAGTACTCCCTTAGGTTCTTTTCTTGACTTCGACAAGACTCTTCAATATTTGTAAGACCTCTTCCTCCTTCCTTTCTTGGCAGGTAAAGCCTTGCCATAGATGCAGTCGGGTGATGCATTCTGGAACCCGTCATACTTGTTCTTATTAACCTATCCAATTCCTGGAGTGACCTTGTGGACCATTTTAGAATCTCCAAAGCTGTAAGATAAGGAAGGAATAACCCTCGTATTTATAGCTTTTATCATTAAACCTGAAGAAAGATGTGTTCTAAGGATGATCTTTAGTCTTTTTTTAAATGAAGCTATCAATTTACATTTTACATCCTTTCTAGCTATTTTTAAATGCTGTTCTATCCCTAGATATTTATACATATCTTCTTTCTGAAGGCTCTTAATATGATATTCTTCATTAAACAAGTTTTCGGAATTATTTGGTTTTCCTTTTATAACGTGAAGAACTGCGCATTTTTCAGTCCCAAGGGACATCTGTATGGAATCACTAAAGTGGCTAACTGTCTTTAGCATAGACTGGAGCTGGGATTTATTCTTTGCGTAGAGTTTTAAATCGTCCATATAAAAGCTATGACTGATCATTCCACTTAATTCATTAAATTTTACTTTGTATCCGTTTTCTTCACGATTTAATAAAATTGACAATGGAGCCATCGCAAGACAAAATAAAGAGGGCTGAGGCAGTCTCCCTGGTATATACCTCTTGAAATGGTAATGTATTCAGGTGATTGCTTATCTCCTATTCTCAGTCTTGTTTTCCAGTTGTCCATCAATTTCCTCAGAAGTTCTTTAATATAAGGATGGATTTTATATAAATCCAGAACTTTTAAAAGCCAACTATGAGAAACTGAGTCAAATGCTTTTTTGTAATCAACCCAGGCTATTGACAAATTTCTTTTATTCATGGTCGTCTGGCCTGCAATGAATGAATCGATGAACAAAAGTTCTTTACACCCTTGGGCTCCTTTTCTACAGCCAAGCTGCTCGAGTGGAATCAAATTATTGGTTTGCAGGTGAAATTCAATTTTACTTGTGAGAATGGATGTTAAAATCTTATACACACCGTTGAGGCAAGTAATTGGCCGAAAATCTTGGGGGTCCAATCGACCTCCTACTTTTTTGGGAATCAGCACAGTAATGCCCTCACAAAACGTTTTGGGAATGTCTATCTGCCCTGTTATCATTTTTTTATAATTCATTGCAAGTGTTTCATGCAGGCAGGATAGATTCTTTATCCAGTAATTCTGAATTCTATCACTACCCGGCGCTTTCCAGTTTTTCATTTTCTTTGTAGCGATGATTACATCCTCTTTCGAGATGTCGAATTCTGGCATTTGAGGTTTCTCCTGAAGTTCAGTATTTACTAATTTTAACCATTCGTTTTCATTATTATGCTCTACATTGTGCTCCCAAAGCTCTTTCCAATACTCTATAATATTGTCAGTTAATGAACAATTTGCACCTCCCTTATTATCATTACCTAAGCTCCGATAAAACTGCTGCTCACTGTTTTTGAACATTTTGTTCTACTGTTTTCGAAGTAACGACTTTTTATATCTTCGTATTCTGTTTGCATAAACTGCAAGTTTTTGTTTCAGTATAACAGCATGTAAAGCCAGTTTTTCGGTGAGCTCAGATTCTAACACCACCCCTATTTGTAGTACAACTATTTCGTCGATTTTTCGTTTTACTTTTGTACTTGCTCCAACGGGGTTCCTGATATAACTCGTTATGACTCCAATATTTACCCTGAACGAAGCTATTTTATTTTCCAATCTTCTCTGCCAGCGTGGAAGTTTTGTATGATTTTTATCTTTCTTTTTTCCTTGTTTTTCCAAGCCAAGTTCAATAATAATGACACTAGCTGCAACATAGGCCCAATGACAAAGAGCTTCGACAGTCATTTCTGGGTAATCTACAATAACTCTACTCAGAGCCTCATTAACCCGATTCCCAGTCAAACGTGATTTGAAGCTATGGGGAATCTTTGAGAGGATTGGTCTAACATCAAGCGGTACCCCCTCATAAATCACATGCTGGGATAATAATGATTCCATTAGTTTGTCGATGTCTTTGTCTTCT